ATTGTATTTACTATAGATATATCACTGCTATTGATTCTGTAATTTCAAGCATCATAATCATTATGTAATACCACTAATAAGTAACAGAAACAACCAWATATCCTTTTGCAAACAAAAATCATGGAAATAATTAGAGGAGGTGATGATGCTTTTATAAATGATGGACCAACATTTCAAATGATAAAAATCAACCAAACAATTGAACTGCACTTCTATTTTTTTWAAAAAAAAAGAAAAAGAAAGAAAAGTCACCCCTGAAAATGTATCTTAATATTTTCAAAAATATATGGTAGTAACATATACAAATGTATCTATAGCCCCATCATCATTAGGCAAGATTCATTGTGGTTACTGTGTACACTGTATATACCAGACATTTTATATCCATGAATCCTTACAATAAGAAAGGTATCATTCCCATTTTAGAAATAAAACCAAAGCTCAAAAATATCCCTCAATTAGCAAGTGTAACCACTGAAACTCAAAGCCAGATCCACCCACCTCTTATCACTACCTTATATCATCTAAGCCTCATGGAAACCAAATGACCAACCACCTAACCAGTGGATGGTGAGGTCATCGTGTTTCATTAACTGAATGAAACTCTATGCAACTTTTAAAAAGTATAAAGGCAGTTTACAAGATCACTGTGGAATCTTAACATTTCCCTTGACTGAGGGCTTTACATATATTATCTCATTTAATCTTTTCCCAGCAACCATTTGAGGTCAATATTTCTGTTATCTCTATTTCAGAGATAGAGAAGCAGGCTTGAGGGTTAATATGACGCCACCTGAGAAATGGCAGAGCAGGCAGAGAAAACCAGGTCAACTTGACACCAAACCTCATTCTCAGAAATATTATCTTGTACAACACTACACAGCAGCTGCTTGAGTGAGAAGAGGCCCTCCAACAATTAGAACTCCTTCCTTCTGCGCCTGCACTAAAGAAAGGAGACCACAGAAGAGCAATGAAAAGATCAAATAACTACAATTGGCACTTTTGGTCTTTGCTTCGGGGAAGGCAACATCCCATTGGATTCACAAGAGTATTTATTTAAACCAGAATAATTGCATTCGTTTTTTCTGTTTACTAAAATGTTTTTTTAATTTTAATAAACTGGGTTTCATCTATGCTTTTTTTCCTACAAATGAATAGGGAATTGTGTTTCCATTGTAACTAGTAATGAAATAGTTAAATCTGGAGGGTACACCCTGGTGGTTATCTCCCTCAACCATCAAAGAGAAAAAGTCACAGTCAGTTACTCCTGTTAGATCCGAGTTCATTAGAACATCTGTAGGCACATAAGCACCCTCTTTACATCAGCTTCTGCTTACCGCAGGCATAGTAGGCAGTAGTGAATCTTCCTAATACTGCTTTAGCAACAGAGATTCAGAGAGGGGTGAGCAGCCCCTCTGGCCTTCAGGTAGGTCCAATATTTTCATTTCTCCCCAAGCTAAAAGATGGGAACCGATATTATGGGAAGGCAGGTGCCCTACTTCAGAGTATAGTAACTACAGGTGGATGGGGTGTCTAGATGGGGAAGGAGTAAATTTGGAAAATGTGGGGCTTCCTATTCTCAGGTTGCTATGAGGATTTAACTTCTATGCCTTCAGAGCACATTATTAATCTTAGAGCATAAATGCTTTGCTGGCAGAAGTGTGGGAAAAAAGACCTAATCATGGTTTTACTGCCAGCAAAAATCAAATAATATATGCCTCAAACCTGATTAACCGTGTAAAACAGTTTTAATTTATGCACTAAATACCTGCAGTTACATGGGGTTACTTGCTTTTGGAGCAATCAGGAAACATGGGCCGTACTGAGCAATAAGATTTAATGCTTCAGAGTACACTGTCTTTCTTTGGAAAGAAAAATAAGTTAGTTCAGACACAGGAACTACAAGCCCAGACCTCACACCATTAGACCTCTTTTGATACTCAACTATGCCCTGCCTTCAAAGTGAATAAATGAAAATCTCCCTGCTGCGGACTGTTAGCATGAGGCTGGGAAGACTGTGTGTGTATTGGCCCTATATTTCTGTCTTTTAAAAAGAATCTTTAATGTGTTGACTTTGAAATTCCCCTCAGTTGAAGAAAAGCCTCTTTTTTTTTTTAATCTGCCTGTTTTAGTTTATTCTATTTAAAGAGAAACCTTTCAGTAGGTTATTTTAGGTCTATTATAATCTTTTAAAAACGCTTTTTAAAAACTARGATGTAACTAATATACTCATATTAAAACCATGGAAGAGACACAATGGTCTGCTCCACTGAAAACATAAATCAGTAAAGCAAAATCTCAAAAACTATGGCAAAAAAAAATGTGAAAACACTTTCAATGTTCTTGTTTATTTATTAAATATAGAAATCATCTGATTAAAATGAGTAATCTAAAAATTAAATACACAAATGGCATTACAAAAGGAGATAATTCATTATAACAATAAATTTTACCACTTTTTTTAGGGCCCTGAACTAAGCTACAAAAATGGATAATATTCTTTACATCTTGCCCAAGAAAATGTTTCTACCTAATCTATAAGAATCATGTTTTCACTTATGACAAACCAAAATCCCTATGAAAACCTTAAGATGAAGTCAACAGGCTACAATGAAAATATTTTTTAAGCTTGCTGTTTAAAAACAAATGTTCTTTGGGAAATTCCTTTGGTCTGGAATTTATTACCCCTGTATAAAACATCACAGATGTTTAAAATAAGCAAGCTTTGGCTTTGGGACTCCCTCCACTCAAAATGGGACAACTCTGAGAAYAATAATTCATGCCGTGTTTAAGTACCTACAGTTTTCATTTAATGAATTGAGGGTCAATAACATTTCTTTTAGCTTCCTTTAAGTTCCTTTAATTYCCTTTAATTTCTTAGATGCTTTCTTTCATGTATATGTGGATAAGCTATGAATAAATAAAACAGTTTCCCAGGTTATTTCATAAGCAGGGGAAGTTGCTGAATCTGCAAATCCACATGGTCCTCAGACCGCAAAGGCTTGCTCTTATAGCTTTGGAACKAATCCTTCTCAGGCCCCATTTCCAAAGTTGGTTTAATAACCCAAAATATTATTATTAAAAGATCACACCTTAAGAGATACCCAAAATAAACTAAAAATCCTAAAGTACATGAGAATGTTCAGCARTTAATGACATCTGATCTACAGAAGTGCTTAAGGCAAAAACAAAAAATTTTGTTTTAAAAACACCATCTCATTAGAGCGACCATGGATTCTAAATGGCCCAAGGAACATTTACAAGGGGAATAAATATAAAACAGTCTTTCATATGTGTATGCATGGATGTGGCACAGTGGATCCTAGCATCAGAGATATCCACAGGATATTAATTTTTTAAAAAAAGTAAATTGTAAATGGATTGAAGAGAGATCAGTGGAGTGGAGGGAAGAGGGGGGTGGGGTGGGGGTGGAGAAGTGCTGGGGATTGAATTGGCACAGGTTGAGTTCCACACCTCTGTGATAATGTCAGGGTGTTTCCTGGTATACTGTATAACTAAAAAGAATAAATAAAATCTAAAATAAACTATAGTATCAATCCCCACTTTGCAAATAAAAAGAAAGATAAAAATAATTTGYTCACTGTGGTTACAGAGCAACTAACTGTTAGAACACCAGATTTGGACTCAGAAGATTCAATTCTAGATCCCGTATATTTAATGAAGGGCTACAGAAAAGACTGACAAGAAGAATGAAATATCAACTGCTATTTAAATTAATCCACCACCAGCATCATTATATATATTTATCCCACTCTTACTAGTTCAAAAGTTTATCTATATCCACTGACCAGATCATAAATTTCCAAAGTCTTTTAACCATCTTCAACATTACAAATATCATCTGTCATCCCTGGCAGATAATTGTGCACACACAACCTTACTTTTGATAAGTTTGATAATAATCATAATAATAACTGTCATTTACTATGTGCAATGTTTTACTAAATTATTAATTATAATTGACATCAACCCATGAGATAYGTAAAATTATCTCATTCTACAGAAAAGGAAACTGAGGCACAGAGAAGTTAAATAACTTGCCCAAAGTCGTGTCCTTGGTGACAGCTAGGATTTGAATCTAGCCAGTCAGCATTTGAAAATCCATACTGTTTTATTCTGCTTTACGTATATTAACAACTTACTCTTAAAAGTCATTGAATCTGTGTTATTCTGTTTGCTTTAACATTTGGCGCCTAAAACTTCACTCTGCAAACAGTAAGTATATTTCACATCTCTCTAGGGTAGGTAATAATAAAACAAAAATTTGTCAAACTTACTTCATCTGGTAAATATCTCGTTAATACCATAATAAAAATATAAAGTCCTGAATAACTCTTGCACCTCTTTGTTTAGTGTCTGCTTTCTACAGAATTACTAAAGAATTACCTCAAAGTTCTTTGGCTGAAAAAGAGGTCTGAAGTAACAGTGATTCTATTTTTCTAGGAGTGGGTAAGGGGAGATGTGTTTAGGAACCTTATCCTCCTCCTTAAAAGAATCCTAAAAACAGGAGTAAATTACCCAAAAGGGGGGGGGGGCACTTGTAAAGGTCTAATTACAGTATTTCCACTACTAAATGCAGGAGTGGTAAGATCATTCTCAAGCAATTTCTCGCCTGCCCTGGAGGTATTCRGAGACTCGTCTTTAGGTTCTGTAAGATAGTCATCAACTATTGTAACCTTGGCTCCCCTGCAATCCCTTCCCCAGCAGCCCAGGATCCTCCGGGGTGCAGTTCTGAGTTGGGGCGCAATTCTGAATGGAGMTTTAACGCGTCTGGGCAGGAGTCCGCCGTGGCGTCCCCTCAGACKGCCGTTTCCAGGCAACCACGCGCGGGCCAGAAGCAGTTGTGCATCCTACTGGGTCACCTATTGAAGAGTCCCCAGGGGAAGCTCCAGCAATTCCGGGACATCGGTTTGCCCGAAACCCCTCGGTGCTGCAGCGCCCCCRTAACCCGACGTTTGGTCTGCGCCAACCACTCTCACCTCCCAATCCCCAGTTGTCCGCCTTGGCTCCCATCTAGTCACTTSGCACTTTTGGCGTCTTTACTCAGATGGACATACTAGAAAGTCTACTCTCCAGAAGAAACAAAGACAAATCATTACAGGCACACATCCCATAGAGCRCAGATTCCTGGGAATTGTAGTTCTTTCGGCTAACGTGTAATGAGTCTTTAAGAAAAAAGAACTACAATACCCAGAAATCCAATGGCGGAGAGTCCATCTCTAAAATATGTCCCAACTACTTGGCTTGAATTCGGTTGGAATGTTCTGTGGCTCTTTCCATACCTATCTCCTTGAATTTTGCTAACTGGGTTCCAGGGCAAGTTTGTGAGAGGATTTTGTTTTTTAACAAGTTTTTTGCATGTGAATGAGTCTCAACAGTGATATATATGAAAAGATATTCTAAGTCATTTTATCTTTTAATTCTTTCAGAGAAAAGATCTACCCACAATCAGAAAATGTCACTGCAGATGATAACAATCAGTAATAATATAGCCTTAATTCAACCAGGCTTCTCACTGATGAATTTTGATGGACAAATTTTCTTCTTTGGCCAGAAAGGCTGGCCTAAAAGATCCTGCCCTACTGGAGTTTTCCATTTTGACATAAAGCATAACCATCTCAAACTGAAGCCTGCAATTTTCTCTAAGGATTCCTGCTACCTTCCTCCTCTTCGCTACCCAGCCATCTGCACATTCAAAGGAAGCTTGGAGTCTGAAAGGCAATATATCATTCACGGAGGGAARACACCAAACAATGAGCTTTCAGATAAGATTTATTTCATGTCTGTTGTTTGCAAGAACAACAAAAAAGTTACTTTCCGATGCACAGAGAAAGACTTGGTGGGAGATGTTCCTGAAGCCAGATATGGTCATTCCATTGACATGGTATATAGTCGAGGCAAAAGCATGGGTGTTCTCTTTGGAGGACGCTCATACATGCCTTCCACCCAAAGAACCACAGAAAAATGGAATAGTGTAACTGACTGCCTGCCCCATATTTACTTGGTGGATTTTGAATTTGGATGTGCTACATCATACATTCTTCCAGAACTTCAGGATGGGCTGTCTTTTCATGTCTCTATTGCCAAAAATGATACCATTTATATTTTAGGAGGACATTCTCTTGCCAATAACATCCGCCCTGCCAACCTGTWCAGAATAAAGGTTGATCTTCCCTTAGGTAGCCCAGCTGTGAATTGCACAGTCTTGCCGGGAGGAATCTCTGTCTCCAGTGCAATTCTGACTCAAATTAACAGTGACGAGTTCATTATTGTTGGTGGCTATCAGTTTGAAAATCAAAAGAGAATGGTCTGCAACATTATCTCTTTRGAGGATAGCAAGATAGAGATTCGTGAGATGGAGACCCCAGATTGGACCTCAGATATTAAGCACAGCAAGATATGGTTTGGAAGTAACATGGGAAACGGAACAGTTTTCCTTGGCATACCAGGAGACAATAAACAGGCTGTTTCCGATGCATTCTATTTTTATATGTTMAGATGCTCTGAAGATGATGTGAATGAAGATCAGAAAACATTCACAAACAGTCAGACATCAACAGAAGATCCAGGAGACTCCACTCCCTTTGAAGATTCAGAAGAATTTTGTTTCAGTGCAGAAGCAAATAGCTTTGATGGTGATGATGAATTTGACACCTATAATGAAGATGATGAGGAAGATGAGTCTGTGACAGGCTACTGGATAACATGCTGTCCTACTTGTRATGTGGATATCAACACATGGGTACCATTTTATTCAACTGAGCTCAACAAACCTGCCATGATCTACTGTTCTCATGGAGATGGGCACTGGGTCCATGCCCAGTGCATGGATCTGGCAGAAYGTACACTCATCCATCTGTCAGAAGGAAGCAGTAAGTATTACTGCAATGAGCATGTGGAGATTGCAAGAGCTCTACAAACTCCTAAAAGAGCCCTACCCTTACAAAAGCCTCCAATGAAATCTCTCCGCAAAAAAGGTTCTGGGAAAGTTTTGACTCCTGCCAAGAAATCTTTTCTTAGAAGGTTGTTTGATTAGTTTGGAGGGAGGGGGAGACCTTTAAGATTCAAGTACATTTGTTGCATTTATTTTAACAATGAGAAAAATATTTCAATTTTAATTGAAAATGCTTATTTTCTTTTAGATATGTGAGTTGTTAGAGGTTTAACACAATGCTAAATACTGTTCTTCCAAAGCCTAAATTTTTAAAAAATATTTGACTCAAAATATCTGAAATGAGAATTTTTATCTGATATTTTCACTCAAGAAATATTAAACACAAAACAATAGTGATAATCAAAGTATGTTTATATTCCTTGTATTATTTTTGGTAACAACCTAGAGAGTAGTTGAGACATCCTTAACCAATAAAGAAACTAATAAACAAAAGATTAAATTAAYTATTTTGTGCAAGGTATCAATTTGGGAATTAAAACCTAGATCAACTATTTCCCACACTATTGCTCTTCATACGCYTTTAAGCAGCCCCTTGGATTATGCCCATGAACAGAATGTCTTAGGTAGTCTTATAATTTTCACTGACATGTGGGAAGAAATAATCTCAAATTTGTTATATTTCCTTGAAGCATCTGCACGCACTTTCTTCAAAGRTCTCCCTCCCTATTATTTGATACATTGATGATGTGTCAAATACACTTATTGWACCATGTATTTGAAGGCATATTCAACAGAAAAAACAAATCCTCTATTACTAGGATCCTGGGAAAAGAGAGGAATGAGAATACATTGATAAGTGACCCAAATACATATCATGGAGAATAATAATATTGTTTCCCAAAATAATGAAAGTTTTAAACATTTTATGAAGTTAACAGGAAGCAGATTGTAAACCGGTAAAAAGAAATCTGTGCAAGTGTGTGCCTAGTAAACTTGTGGAGTTTGCTCTYCTTAAATATTATAAAATCTGAGAACTTGGCCAAAATTCAATAAAGTTAAAAAGACTGTTAATTATGACTCTTCGAGACATCAATTGGTAATGAATTTAAAAACAAATGTTTTCCCCCTAGAATATTTTTCTGGAAAAGCATTTAACCTCATCTTAAGGTCTTCAGCTTTAGTCTTGTATTCATCATTCTTCAGAATCCACAGTTATTAAGGTAATATTTTCCAAACATGAACTATACAGGAGATGAAGTTCTTTTAATACTTGCATGTCTCAGATACTGGAATTAACTTTAATAATCCAAATCATGTTCATTTTCTTTCAGTAACGTTGCTTGATGAATATTGCCATTGAACAATTGTTTGTACCATTGATTTGATTTCTTATTTYTATCTCTATGTAAAAATAATGAAACATAAAAATTCTCTGTTTCTATTGATGTACTYAAATAATTAACATTTATAGTCACCCAAATAAAGGCAAGATTAAAAAAACTTAATTGTTTCAGAATCATTTTACCTTGATTTATTTTCTTTTTGTTTGTGGGAAACAGCATAAATTGGCTGAAATATCCTTTACAGATAGATCRTCTTATCTTGATCTGTCCACAGTGACTCAACAATTAAAGAATTATTATCCCATATTTGTTTTATAGTTGATGAGATCAAGATATGACAACCAATTCTGAATTCATTGAGTTCTATACTCAAACTCAGATCTCACGAGTAAACTGTGTGTATGTGTGTGCGTGTGTGTAGAGCAAGCAGTAGGGCTCTGCAAATAAAAATAGGCCTTTTTTAAGCCATCACCAATGAGCCCATCAGATGTGACCTTAAGATAATGAGGCTACTTCTTATAACCATATGCATTCAAATGAATCACTTTAGAAGTTAACACACTTATTCCAACATTGCTTTTGTCCCTTATATTTTGGGAGTTCACATTCAATCTCTTTCAGAATCTGTAGTTCACTCCATTGAAGATGTTTGATAATTGTCCCTCTGCCTCTCAGAGCTGAATTTAATTTCTAGAAACAGTCAAATGTCATTCAGAGCCTAATAGTGTGTAACTCTCAGTATTACATTGCCACTTCAAATAAAAAATAAAATGTGAATACAAGCTAACACAATGGGTTTTCAGATATGAGTCATAGATGGGTTCTAAAGTTAAGTCCAGAAATTGCACAACAATGAAAGTGTARTATCAAAAAATAAGTGTATGGCTTCCTGAGGTGATCATTTTATGGGATTATAAATATCTGCAAATACAACTGAGTGGCCAAATAAATATTGAATGAATAAATGATGAATGAATGAGGGCATATTCTTCAAATGGTAATGCTAATATCTTCATTCAACCCTGAGGCACAAACTTTTGAAACACAAACCCAATATTTAAAAAGTAGGAGGAAAACAAATCAAGTACTATCTCACAATGTTATACCACGCTGTCCACCATTCCCTCCTTTGCTACTGCTACAGCACCTTGTCATGATTTCTGCTGTTACATCTCAACCAGCAAAGGTACTTATTACTAAGTTTGTAAGTGTCTGACTCTTCCAACCAACTATAAGTTCCATGAAGAGTAGAACAAAATCTTTGTAATTTCTATATATGGAGTGCTTAACCTAATATCTGTCATGTTGGAGGTATTCAAATTGTTCTTGAGCTGAACTGAATTAAATGTCTCAGTGAGTTCCATTTGTCTCCCATAGAAGGTAACCAAAGTGTCCTATGCTTTAGCATAAGGTACTGAATGCTTGGTTATATTTGTTATACTAATTACCTATTACTTATCTTTTCTTCCTCTAGCCTCTGAACTCCATCACAGCAGAGATATTATTGGGTTTATTCATTTTTTAACCTCTAGCATCTAGCAGAAAAGAAAGAAAATAAATTAAAACAACTAAAGAAGCCAAGGATATGAGCAGAAATGAAATCAACAAACCTCTAATTGACTGCATAGGGAAGAGTAGGAAATTAGTATTAATCAGGGTGATGAACACTACTAGAAAAAAAATCAAACTATTCCATAAGTTGTCACAGTCAAGGTTTATTTCTTGTTCATGAAAAATTTCATGCACGAGTTTTTATCAAGCTATCTTCCTGAGCAGCTGACTCTCCTCCAGGATGCATCTCAAGGATGTAGGCTTTTTTTTTTTCTATTAGGTGA